TTTGCAAATAAAATTTTTTCTTATTGTTATGTATACGGCTATTGTCATTTATTATTATTATATATTTTGACTAATATACCAAGGCATTACATTAATCAAAAACCAAGATACATCTAATATATTTAATTAACTGCATTCAATTTTAATTTTTTTTTGTATTACAATTAAATTATTTACTTTCTATATTATAATTACCATTTCTATTTTAAAATTTTTTAGAGTTTATAAATAAATGAAATTTTGGTGAAATCATTTGACAATAATAAATAAATAATTCCTAATAATATCCTCAATTATAGAATAATCGTAACGAATTGGCTTAGTGTTAGAGATCAGAAGATCATTAAATTTGGAAATTAGATTCAAAGAATAAAATTAGAATTTAGAGTAAATCTATTGTTATTATAATTACTATTACTATTGCTGATCATCAAATTGACCAATAAGAATGCAAGATCGTTACCATTAAATAATACTTCTGACTGTTTAAAGGATAATTAGTTTAATAAAGAAAAAATAGAAAATCATTGCTGAAATAGCATCACACGCCAACTGATGAAGAAATAGGAACAGATAAAAATTAAATAATTGAGAAATAGGAAAGTAGCACAATAATCAAATTATTGAAGACTGAAAAGAACAAGCTGATAATGCTGAGAGCGATAATGAAACACACTAGCTATAAAGAATGGAGAGAAAGACAATCGGTAGAGGAATTAGAGCAATTAGAGATAACAAGAATCAAAAAATAAATTAACAAGCCAAGAAATTCCGCAACTAAAACAAAAATTTTATATAACCAATAAAAAGAAAAAACTACAAAGAATTACAAAAAACGATAAGCGATAAAATTCACCTAATACTAAAGAGAATAATTGAAGGAATCCAAACCAACCCTCTTTTGTCAAATTTTTAAAAGATAGTATAAATATGCTCACCTATACTGATAATTAAATCTAAGTTAAGTAGTAAATTATTTTTCTTTTCTTTCTAGGTTCTTTATTGTCATCAAACATATTAATATTTATTATGTGCGGATTTTTTAGT